GCAATATAGTCTTCAATGACAACATCCTCAAGTCAATGTCCTCCAAAGGTTCCAAAGGATGGACAGAAAGAGCCAATGGAACCACAGCCAGATCCCACAAAGGGGACATGGTTCTGGGCACAGGCAGTAATCTCCAAGCCCCCTTCATAAAACGACAGATCAGTGGATGCTGACCCACAGTTTTGCCAACATTACATGCCGAAACAGCAGCCAGATAAACTTTGATTGTGGAGAAAGCCTTTTTCTTTTCAAGAAGGTCCTGGAGGAATGACAAAATGACATTCAAAAGACAATTGAAAAAAAGCGCCCCCTGTGAAACGCACCAATCCTCAAAAACCTTCCACTTCCACTCCGGTCATACAGTCATACAGAGACCTTGTGGAAGCGGCCCTGGCGCTCTGAATAGTATTGATAACATTCTGACGGAGACCAGCCAGCCTCCAGAGGTGCCTGCCTAGTAACTGTTTCACATCCGCCAGCCAAGGCATGGACGGCCAGTGCGGGGCTATCATACCAGCCTTAGGTGACGTTCTAGAACGTTCAAGAATCAGCGCTAGAGATGGAAAAGCATATAGCTGTGCCTGAGGCCACTCGTGAGAGAACGCGTCCACTCCCAGAGGCGCACGGTGATTGCGTAGGGAGAAGAACAGTGGGGAGTGAGTATTCTCTGTGGATGCGAACAGGTCCACCGATGTGGGCCAAACCTGACCCAAATCTGGTCCGCAACCCATGTGTTCAGGCGCCACTCTCCGTATAGGGGGTTCCCTCTAGACAGGAGATCTACGCCTACATTCAGCACGCCCGGAACATGCGTCGCCCCTAAAGATAAGCGCCGCGCATTGCTCCAAAAGATAAGCTTGCGCGTGAGCAAGCAGCAGGAGCGCAGTCCCCCTTGGCGATTTATCTGAGCCACAGTGGCTGTGTTGTCCGTCCTCACCTGCACATGGTGCCCCTGGAGGAACGGGAGAAAGTGTTTCAGCGTAAGTGCCACTGCCATAAGCTCCAAATAATTTATACGAGCGCGGCGGAGGTGAGGACTCCATACCCCGTTTACGGGTCTGCCCTGGAACACAATTGCCCCAGCCCGTGAGGCAAGCATCTGTTGTGACCACCTTCCTAGACGAGACAGTGCCCAAACCCACTCCCTCGGTCAGAAGATCCCTCCCTAACTGTGCGCATACGGTGACGTACGGGATCCAGCTTTAGTGTATGCACCCAGAGCTGGAAGCTCCGCATGTGAAGTCTGCCCAACTTCACAACCATAATCACCGAAGCCAAAAGACCCAAAAGTCTGAGACACAGACCGAAGGAAACTAGTTTATCTGGCGAGAAACAAAGTAGCGTCCCCAGAAATGTACGCTCCCTCTCTAGATAGAGATGGGCCATGTAACAGACAGAATCCAGTACGAGACCCGGAAACTCAATGTTTTGACTGGGCTGTAACACGCTCTTGGTCGTGTAACAAATCTCAGACCGTACAGATGTTTGAGAACCACATCTGTTTGAGTGACAGCCTCCAGGAGGAGCCAAACATCCAAATAGATGGCCAGACGTATCCCCGCTCTCTGAGGGGGCATTTCACAAACCACTCTCGGACTTAGAGAAAGGCCGAAAGGGAGCACCGGGTATTCATAAGCTACGCCTTGAAACAGAAACCTTAGGTATTACCTGTGAGGCAGATAAATGGGAATGTGAAAATATGCGTCCTTCAGATCTATTGATGTGAACCAATCGTCTGGGCGCACGAAACGGATCATGGCCGAGTGTGTGAGCATTGGAAACTTTTATCTCCTAAGATAAAAAAATCTCATAGATCCAGAATGCGGCGAAGGCCGCTCTCCCCCTTCTTCGTAACCAGAAAATACCTGGAAAAGAAACCGCTTTACTTCTGATCCAGTGGTACAATCTGTATGGCCTTCTTCTGTAGCAAAGAGGATATTTCCTCTGCCAGAACGATGGCTGACTGTCCTTGTGCTTGACAGGACAACAGGCCGTTGAAACTGCAGCCTGTAGCGTCGTGTTATCGTCCCAAGCACCCACTTGGAGTCTGTGCATTTGCTCCACTGCTCCGCTCTGAGAGACAGGGAGGGCAATGTTGCACCTGCCAACAGACTTGTGTGCGGACCTTTGCTGCCCTCTGCTGACAGAGGGCTGGTGGTGGAACTGGGACGGAATGTGCATGACTGGGGACCAGGGGGATGATAGCGCCCCTGTTGGCCCGAGATGAAAGCTAAATGTATTTTTCAACATTTTGTCTTTTTTAATTTTTTCAAAGTAACATACTGCGCCCTCAGCGTAATGTCTGGATGCGTCAGTGAACATGTTATTTTTGAGTGTACGTGTGTGTTCTTGAGAGACTTGTGAGGCATGGGACACTCCAGCACATGAACCACGTCTCTCATCCTCTTGGCCAGGACTCTCCAAGGACTCGCCGGGTCCGGACCAGACGGAGGGGGGCACACCACCAGGGAGAACCACCTTCTGTGGCACACTCACAGGGTCGAACAAAACTAGAACCGGGTCGACCCTGTTGATTAGCAGTGTGGTGGACTGCTAAGACGCCTTCTTCCTCCTCCTCTGCGGATGAGACATACCCGTGGGCGGTGCAGCAACTTTCGAAGCAGTAGGATCCGCGGCCCTCTTGGGCCACACGGGTCTGACCACCTGAGGGCAAGCTGATCCCGTGGCAGGGGGCTGAGGCTTTGGTCGTTGCGAGATGCGGAAGGAGGGGTTGAAACCAGGCCTGGGGCTCGCACAAGTGGGCTCGGTCTGAGGCATACGAGCCATGCAGAGTTTGTCCATATCAACAAAGTCCAAAGAAGAAGCGGCAAAAATGGGGCTCTTATTGGAGTAGGGGTGGTCTTTCCAATAGTCTAATACTTCATCGAGAAACTCTGGAAACACCAGGAGAAGCTGCCGCGCTGCCCGTTTAGCTTGGGGTAATTTCTTCCCCTCGTAGCGGGAGTGGGGTTTGGGGGCATTTATGGTGGGTGCCAATGTCACGACGTCCCTACTGCTGGTAGTAATAATAATGCATTGGTTTTAAATAGCGCTTTTTTGGACACTCAAATACGCTTTACATGCCATTATTCTTTCACTCCATACACGGTGGTGATAAACTACTACTGTAGCCACAGCTGACCTGGGGCACACTGACAGAAGCGAGGCAACCAGTCTGTGCCATCACCAATTATTCACACACACCAGACTCATTCTGGGCAATGGGGGTGAAGTGTCTTGCCAAAGGACACAACGGCTGTTAGGCACTTTACAGCCAAAGCCGCCCCACTGTGGCTGGTGTTCCCAGAAGTTAAGTGTCTTGCATAGCACACAACGACAGCAGACATCAGTGGGAGTCGATGGAGAAAGTTTTGACGTGGGCGCGAACCTTCTGGCTCAAAGGCTAATGCTCTACCAACTGAACCAATGTCGCCCTAAGTGACTGCTTTACGCCTGCCTGCCTGCTCAGGGCTGGCGTAACTGATTAGGGCTTCTGTGATTATCCGAAGGGGCGTTTTCCATAGTGAGAACGAATTCTATGAAAGAGAACCCAAGCTGTAACCAAAATCAGATTCAGATTCATTTATTTGCCATTTCCACATTGGAAAAACTGTGCAAGACTACCCCAGAGGCGGCACACACCAGAGCTCTTGCCACGGCGCCATCTTTACAGCGCCATGCGACAAACAGTAGAATAAACAGCAGAGAGCAGTAACATACATAGCACAAGACAGTTTGGATAAACACAGTATGTTTTAGATAAAACACGGACGTTTTTATTGTGGAAGTAAACTCCGGCCACCCGTTTGCCAATGTGGGCCGTCAGAGGGGGCTAGGTGAGGGGGGGGATGAGCAGGAAAGACTTAGAGGGAGAGAGGAGGAAGTAGGGAGGGGGAGAGGAGCGGACTAGGGGGGGAGGGGGGCAGTCCAAAGCTGGGTAGCTGTAAGTGTGAGGTTTGTTGTAGATTGGAGAAGTCCATGTTATCTTCGGCCTTGCCAGAGGAATGTGAGAAAGATAAGAGTGGAGACAAGCCACAGCAATGGAGGAAAACACATCGCCTGAGAGGGACAATATTATATGCAATGTAGCGGTAAAAAGCAGGCAGATATTCTATTAAATCCCATTAAACCGAATTGCGGCGCCCTCACAGGGGCAAATCCATGCCGGGTCAGAGAGTTCAAGCCTGGCGAACGATGTCATTCAGACTCATCTCCAGTGTCTTATGCCCTTTGAGTGGACGTGTTGTGAGGTCTTTTATCAACTGTTCCACTAGCACAACTCTCCTTTGTCCAGACACGGCACTCTCAACCACGACGCGGCTCAACTCCTTGTACATCCCATCAATTTTGTTGGACAGCAGGTTGGGAATTTTATGAGCTGCCATGCCTCCAAATTCCCCACCACCATAATTCCAAAGATATATACGTCTTCCGAATCTTCAATAGACAGGACCGACAAAAAGAGGGGCTGAAACTTGTACCAGCTGTCAAGAGTATACCCCGCAGGTGCAGTCCCGTCTGGGCACAGAGGCTTCCCCGGTCCTCCCTTACGTGTTGAAAAAATAGCGTCAATTGCGTTGAGGGACCAGTTAATGAAATCCATAATTCTTGTTAGAGTTGTCTGTGGCAAAACTCCAGGAAAAGACAAAAACAAGTAGAGAGCAAGCAGTCAGAAGCAGGAGCGGTCTGAAGACGGAGGTGGAAGTAGGAATCATTGTTATCGTCTAGAAATACCGTTTTAGGACAAGTGCAATTTAACGTTTTAAAAATAAATCAAAAGTCAAAAACACCATCAAAATATAAAAATGTAAAAAACCATTTCTTTCCAAAATCTCATTAATTCAGCTCTACAATTATGTATTTAGTGATCCACAATGAAAAGGATTGTGTTTTCAGTGCACTTGTGCTTCTTTCCTCAAGGTTCCTGTCTGCAGGTTAGCCTCCTCAGTGGTCACACAATGTTCTTGCATACCTTATCAGCCGTTTTATTCAGAATACTGTCACACTGATCGCTGGTTGGTATTCAACACAAGGCCAGTAGGACAATGAGTCACCTGTGTCTTTCCACCGGTACTTTCCTGTACCAGACTTCTGGACATGGAGCAGGTCACAGCGAAGGTCCTGAAGAAGGAGCTGATGAAGTTACACAGACCATATGCCAGAAGCTCCTGAAATCACCCACAGGAAAAGTTGTTAATGTTCTATGAGTCAAACAACACTTCTGGACTGTACAGAGGGTTTTCATCCATCCAAATAATCAAATCAGCAGCCATGTAAAAACTAGTGATAACCAAACTGGTTTTAGAGCAAGGAGCAAGTTATATGGATTTTATGATGTATGATGACAAACTATTGAAAATGTAGGTATCCCAGTTTTAAGCATATGGCTAAACACAATAAAGAGTATGACATGACTCGTAATGACATTCTGCTAAATATAAATTAACATGATGCGTTTATTTAGTGACTGCACTTGCTCATATTAGTCTTTAGTTTTAGGATCGATTAATATCTTAATTTCCATACTTTTGACAACCCTAGTTCCAAAAGTATTCAGTTTTTTTTTTTACAAGAACATTTATAGTAATACAACTGTGCTTATTTATGAGAACATTGTAGATAAAAGTACCGTTGATTGACCATCTGAATCTTGAAATGAGATGCAGTTAGTTCTAATGCAGAAGTGTCTTATCTTATTATTAAGCCTTTTTAGCTTTTCTTTTATCTCTTGGTTCCAAAGCCTGACGCTCAAGGACAGAAACAAGTTACAGAGTATTGTGAGAACTTGCTCTAAAATCAGTGGAGGAAAACTCAGACCTTCACTCTTTGTGGGAGGAACAGGTGCTGATTAAAGAAAAATGTATTCTGGCTCAGCCCAAACATCCACTGATTGATGACTTTATAATGATGCCTTCAGGGCATCGGTTTTATGCTCCAGCACGGAAAACAATTTTTCCAATTCTTTTATGCCCTCTACCACAAAACTGTTGAATTGTGTTGTTCATTGTTGTTAATAACTTATATTGTGTAACCTGCTACTGTGTGAACTGTGAGGCCTGACTTACTGTGTGTTTGTGTAGAGTCTGAGTCTGTGTTCTGCTTTGAGATAATGCGGCAAATTAATTGCCCTTTGGGAGCAATAAAGTTTTCTGAATATTATTGTATTATCTATGTTGTACAATGGATCATGTTTGATGTGTGCATAACCTGAGTTACTTCTCCTTTTATTTTGCTGTAATGTGCACAATGACATTGAACTTTACACACTGAAGGGTGCCCATAGTGCGTACACAAACTAGATGTTATGATACAGTGCATCTGGAAAGTATTCACAGCGCTTCAATCTTTTTTCCTCACAATTCTACACACAACACCCCATAATGACAACATGAAAAAAGTTTTTTTGAGATTCTGGAAAATGTATTAAAATTGAAAAAACTAAGAAACCACATGTACATAAGTACACACAAACTTTGCCATGAGGCTCAAAATTGAGCATCCCGTTTCCACTGATCATCCTTGAGATGCTTCTACTGCTTAATTGGAGTTCACCTATGGTAAATTCAGTTGATATATAAGGTCCCACAGTCGACAGTGCATGTCAGAGCACAAACCATGCATGAAGTCAAAGGAATTGTCTGTAGACCTCCGAAACAGGATTGTCTCGAGGCACAAGTCTGGGGAAGGGTACAGAAAAAATGAAGCTGCTTTGAAGGTCCCAATGAGCACAGTGGCCTCCATCATCCGTAAATGGAAGAAGTTTTGAACCACCAGGACTCTTCTTAGAGCTGGCTGGCCATCTAAACTGAGCGATCGGGGGAGAAGGGCCTTAGTCAGGGAGGTGACTAAGGCCCCGATGGTCACTTTGTCAGAGCTCCAGCGTTCCTCTGTGGAGAGAGTAGAACCTTTCAGAATGACAACCATCTCTGCAGCAATCCACAAATCAGGCCTGTATGGTAGAGTGGCCAGACGGGAGCCGCTCCTTAGTTTTGAGTTTGCCAAAAGGTACCTGAAAGACTCTCAGACCATGAGTAAAAAAATTCTCTTGTCTGATGAGACAAAGATTGAACTCTTTGGTGTGAATGCCTCCAAACATGACGTTTGGAGGAAACCAGGCACTGCTCATCAGCAAGCCAATACCATGCCTACAGTGAAGTATGGTGGTGGTGGTAGCATCATGCTGTGGGGATGTTTTTCAGCGGCAGGAACGGGGAGACTAGTAAAGATAGAGGTAAAGATGAATGCAGCAATGTCCAGAGACATCCTGGATGAAAACCTGCTCCAGAGCGCTGTTGACCTCAGACTGGGGCGACGGTTCATCTTTCAGCAGGACAACGACCCTAAGCACATAGCCAATATAACAAAGAAGTGGCTTCAGGACAACTCTTGAAGCCACAACTCAAGAGTTGCTTACAGCTCAAGAGTGCCCAGCCAGAGGGCAGGACAAGTCTGCCCTCTGGCTAGAGCCCAGACTTGAATCCAATTGAAGATGAACAGAGATCTGAAAATGGCTGTGCACCGACACTCCCCATCCAACTTGATGGAGCAAAGAGGAATGAGCAAAACTGCCCAAAGACAGATGTGCCAAGCTTGTGGCATCATATTCAAGAATACTTGAGGCTGTAATTGCTGCCAAAGGTGCCTCAACAAAGTATAAAGCAAAGGCTGTGAATACTTATGTACATGTGGTTTCTTAGTTTTTTTATTTTTAATAAATTTGCAAGAATCTCCCGAAAACTTTTTTCATGTTGTCATTATGGCGTGTTGTGTGTAGAATTGTAAGGAAAGAAATTAATTGAATCAATTTTGGAATAAAGCTGTAACCAAACCAAATGTGGAAAAAGTGAAGCACTGTGAATACTTTCCGGTTGGTAGGTACAGTGCCTTGCGAAAGTATTGAACCTTTCAACATTTCGCCACATTTCAGGCTTCAAACATAAAGATATAAAATTTTATTTTTTTGTCATGAATCAACAACAAGTGGGACACAATCCACAATGAAGTGGAACGAAATGTATTGGATAATTTAAACTTTTTTAACAAATAAAACATTGAAAAGTGGGGCGTGCAATATTATTCGGCCCCTTTACTTTCAGTGCAGCAAACTCACTCCAGAAGTTCAGTGAGGATCTTTGAATGATCCAATGTTGTCCTAAATGACTGATGATGATAAATAGAATGCACCTGTGTGTAATCAAGTCTCCGTATAAATGCACCTGCTCTTTGATAGTCTCAGGGTTCTGTTTAAAGCGCAGAGAGAACCATGAAGACAAAGGAACACACCAGGCAGGTCCGAGATACTGTTGTGGAGAAGTTTAAAGCCGGATTTGGATACAAAAAGATTTCCCAAGCTTTAAACATCTCAAGGAGCACTGTGCAAGCAATTATATTGAAATGGAAAGAGTATCAGACCACTGCAAATCTACAAAGACCCGGCTGTCCCTCCAAACTTTCATCTCAAAAAAGGAGAAGAATGATCAGAGATGCAGCCAAGAGGCCCATGATCACTCTGGATGAACTGCAGATAACTACAGCTGAGGTGGGAGAGTCTGTCCATACAAGCCACCTGGGAGACACACCAAACATGTGGAAGAAGGTGCTCTGGTCAGATGAAACCAACTTTTTGGCCACAATGCAAAACGATATGTTTGGCGTAAAAGCAACACAGCTCATCACCCTGAACACACCATCCCCACTGTCAAACATGGTGGTGGCAGCATCATGGTTTGGGCCTGCTTTTCTTCAGCAGGGACAGGGAAGATGGCTAAAATTGATGGGAAGATGGACGGAGCCAAATACAGGACCATTCTGGAAGAAAACCTGTTGGAGTCTGCAAAAGACCTGAGACTGGGACTGAGATTTATCTTCCAACAGGACAATGATCCAAAACATAAAGCCAAATCTACAATGGAATGGTTCACAAATAGAAGTATCCAGGTGTTAGAATGGCCAAGTCAAAGTCCAGACCTGAATCCAATCGAGAATCTGTGGAAAGAGCTGAAGACTGCAGTTCACAAACGCTCTCCATCCAACATCACTGAGCTCGAGCTCTTTTGCAAGGAAGAATGGGCAAGAATTCCAGTCTCTCGATGTGCAAAACTGATAGACATACCCCAAGCGACTTGCAGCTGTAATTGCAGCAAAAGGTGGCGCTACAAAGTATTAGCGCAAGGGGGCCGAATAATATTGCACTCCCCACTTTTCAGTTTTTTATTTGTTAAAAAAGTTTAAATTATCCAATAAATTTCATGATTGTGTCCCACTCATTGTTGATTCTTGACAAAAATTTTTTTTTTAAATATCTTTATGTTTGAAGCCTGAAATGTGGCGAAATGTTGAAAGGTTCAAGGGGGCCGAATACTTTCGCAAGGCACTGTAGGTAGGTAGGTACTGTAGGTATGTATGTACAGTATGTATGTAGTGGTTTTAATGTTTATTTTTGTGTTAGGCACTTTGAGTTGACTTGACCCTGACCTGGTTCCCGTCCACAGTGTAGCCGTGTTTCAGAGCAAAGATCTTGGCCAGAGAGATGCCCATTGAGTAGCCCACAATGGCCACTGCAAAGGCATCTGTGATCAGGTTTGGAAACAGAGAGAAGTCTGGGAGCGCTGGAGCCTGCAGTCTGCAACAACAAGCTCTAAATGTTATTGACAAGACGCAGCCATCAAATATATTATATAATGTAGTTAATCACTCTGCCCTTTCAGTCTCTAGAAACATGGTCTGCTCTGTGGTGATCAAGTTAGTCAATAGCGATTACATTTTACTTCAGTCCTATTTGATCAAAGAAGGGGGAATCAGATGAAAAAATATTTTTTACCAAATTAGTAAAGTATGTATTGATCAGGACAGGCAGGCAGAGGCACAATAAGTATTCAAATTGTGTAGAATTGTGATTTCAATTATGAGCTTGTATGTTGGTTGTGAACAGCCCTACCCAGTGGGGATGTGTCCCACTACATCGACCTGGTGCAGCGGGGACAGGGCTAGGCCGTAGGACACTGCAGTGGACACCATGACCACAATGATCTCTCCAGGGATGGGGATGGGTAGCTTCTTCTTAAAGCGCTCGTTCATATCTTTAATGATATAGAGGAACAGCAGACAGGACAGGCCGAGGAGGAGCGTAGGGATGTTGGTCTCAGTGATTTTACAAAAGACCGCTTTCAAACTCTACAAAAGAGAGCAAACTATAACATAACATCTCTAGAGTAAAACACAAGGCCACAATCTTTCTCCTAAAATGCTTCATTGTCCAGACCTAAAATAACTAACATATTTTCTCAGGTTGGTCATACTTATTTACAAGTATAATATCAATTGAATTTTGCATAATGAGTTTTCTAAACAGACATATTTATGTTCAAGTTCTAAAACATGAAATGCCAAAGTAAAATTATTGCCTAGGGTTCTCAAAGTGAAAGACAAATGACACTGAGAGGGCATTTACTGCGCGGGTGCGTACATAAATGACGGACAGGACTCCGCTGAATCTGCATGTTTTGACTCCCAGAAGATACTTGAGCTGTGAAACCACCACATGCACTGCGGCTGCTGTGGTGAAGCCTCGTACCAGCGGCTCCGACAAGTAGATAGCTACAAAGCCGAACCGCAAGAGGCCCAGCAAGATCTGGAAGGAGACACACAGGAGGAGTGAGGAGGTGGAGGAGGAGAAGGAGAGCATACTCAGACAGAGGAGAAATAATACTGAGATAGGAGAGGAGTAGGAGAAAAAGAATGAGAGCACACTGAGACAGGAGAAGAAGCAGAGGAGAGAGCATACTTATGGTGCTTTCAGACCGGATCATGCGTCGCGTCGGCTTTCAATGCAAAGTCTATGGTGACGAGCGTTCGAGCGTCACACAGTGGCGGAGCCAGAGGGGTAGCCAGGGTGGCCACTGCCACCTCTAAAAATACCCTTTACCCCGCGTCAGGATATCTTGGTGTGAAGACCCCTGCGTCTGAAAACTAGAGAATGCGCGTCTGGTGAGCCGGGCTTCAGCGTTGGCGGTCTGAAAGCACCATTAGACAGGAGATGAGGATGAGAAGTAGAAAGCATACCACCCAGACAGAGAAGAGGAGGAGAAAGCACACTGAGACACAAAAGGGGAGGAAAGAGCATTATGAGACAACGGAGGGGAGCACATACTGAGCCAGATGAGAGAGCAAAATGAAAAAGAGGAGACAAAATACTGAGACAGAAGAGGAGAAAGCATACTAAGACTGAAAAGGACGAGGAAGGATCTTAAAGCACACACACACACACAGTCCAAATGTCCACGTTATTCTGATCAATAGACCAGAACATTTCAGGACTCACTCACATAAACAGCTACACAGGGTTGTGCCAGGGAAGCACAAACAGAACTCAAAAATGTATGAACCTGGCCCGGACTGGCCATCGGGAGCATCGGGAGATCTCCCGGTGGCCTGCGTGTCAAAGTGGCCTGGGCCTGCCCTATCATCACGGTCTTTTTTTTTTTTTCTTTTAATTTAATTTCATCCTCACGGTCTTTGCAAACTCCTACCCTGCCTGGTGGCCTGGTCCAATGAGCAAGGCCCAGACCAAAGCCAGTGTTGTGCGTGAACGAGTTCAAAAGAACGCGTTCATTGAACACGCTCATTTTTTCGTGAACGTTGAACTGAACGCAACACATTTTTTAATAAAGAACTTGAACGTGAATTAGTTCATATTATGTGTCATGAACGGCAGACAATTTGTTTTCCATTTAAAACTGAGTGAAATCTGTTTTCTCTTTTGAAACGCAACGAGAGAAAGTTCCTCCCTCCTGTATTCTCCGCACTGTTTCCGCCGAAAACTAAAAATTCCTACGGTTTCCACCGTCTGTGAACGCACCCCGACTCAGTGTACTTGCGGTGCGGCGCTATATGCTAGCTAGTGCTATTCATTGGTTGTTGGACTCACATGTGATGAAAACACAGGGGTAAGTCAGTGACACAGGGCCGTTTACATTTGACATAAAGTATAGACACACGTTCTGCAGCGCATTACAGTTTGTACTTATGAGCAGAGATGGGACAACTCAGTTCCCATTGAAACCCATGTAAATCTTGTCTGCATTGGAGTCAAAACATCCTGTGCAGTGTACAGGATATAATATATAATTAAATATATTATATATATATTATATATATATATATATATATATATATATATACCACGTATTGTGATTTCTAGCTCGTAGTGAAAAAAAATATTTATTTGAATATCTTGCAAAAAGTAAAATGAACTGAAATTTGAACTAGTTCAGAATTAAAATTGAGAACTTCGAACGTGAACTGTTCACTTTGAGCATGTATGAACTGAACTTGAACTAGTTCAGAAAAGCTGTGAACTGGCACAATACTGGCCAAAGCTTTACTGTCATTGGGCCAGAGCAAAATTAAACAAATGTGACGTCACACGTCGGCTACACAGCCAGGCCAGCCTAGCAGTGCACCCAGTGTAGCTTCCCCGGTTGAAATGAGTGGTCTCTCCAACTGATGGTTCATACACGTTTTTATTTTTCCTTTTATATGAGCTGTAACGATGTGATTTTACCTTACTACTTTTTTAACAATAATTGATTAGCTTGTTATAGTTATACACTAATGAACACTTAGTTCATTGTGTGTGTGTGTGTCTTTATTCTCACTAAACTCCATAAACGTTACGTTGCTAAGCAACGTACAACAATCCTTAAACGTCCGAGATTATATAAACAGTCAATATTAAAAAAAATAAAGAAAACAAAAGTTTTGACAGTAAATCTTAAAACTATTAAAAGAACATCAAAATACAATGACAAAAACCCAAATTTAGAACCTTGTTTGGCCTGAATGAATGAAAAGCTCCCGGCCTGAAATGTTGTCCCACTCCGGCCCTGGTATGAACGGTCTATAATTGGTGGCTGTAGATGTGGGTTCCAAAGTGGGGGTTCTACCTGTATGGCTCCAGTGATGGTGGTGAGGGCCATGACCACCTGGACCCTGCGGGCATCTCTGGCCTCTAGGTCCAGAACGGCAGAGGCATTTGTGCCATTCACAGCCTGAACAAGGAACATGGAGTCTGGGACTTCTCTTATCACCACGCCCCCAATCATCAGGCTGATCACCGCAAAAGTGCCTGTCAAAAATCACAGAGGAGAAAGGCGCATCAGAATAGTGTGAACAAAAAAAACAGTACAAATTTGGGTTAATATTTATTTAGTTAGTGTGGTAATTTGGGGTAAAATATACAGGCTATGCTTTTGACTTCATAATTTAACTATAGACAACTGGAGCCAAAGTCCATGTGTTCGTTAATCTACTTGAAGATATTAATCAACAAGTCAATGTATTATATTATTAATATTGGAATGTAACTTTAGTTATCATTTTGGTAAATCATGTGTGGCTAGATTTATTGCTGAATGCTAAATTATATTGTCTGTATTATAATTCACCTTGGCGGGAAGACTACAGTTTTTTGGGTGTTAATATACGTCTTAAATATTTATATATTCCAATAGCCATCACTTATATAGAGTGTTTGTACCTAAACACGGATCTCTCAGTCCTTCCAGTCTTCTCCCACTCTTTATTTAAGAAAACCTCGTATCCTATAGTTTAACCCAATCAAGAGAGAGAACCAAAAAAGGGGGTTTCTCTCTCTGCGTGCACGCGCACTCTTCAAAACAAACATGACGGAGAAGGAAAAGCCGCCTCCAGCGCTACTGCAGACTAAATACCATGGATCTATTAAATACATGCAAATCGCCAGAAACAGAGGAACGACAAAAAGTAGGAGCAACATGGTGACCAGCTGCATTCATGTTGGCGACCTCTAGCTCCGTGGAGAACTCATGGATGTAAAAACCCACCAGCCTATGGCGCCAGATTTACGCCAAAAGTCCACACGCTCAAATAACACATGCACGCGCAGATTTATTTAATTCACACGCGCGCAAACTACTCTCCACGCTTTCACACCACGCTTTCACACCACTACTCTCCACGCTTTCACACCACACGCGCGCAGACTCAGTACCACGAGCAACAATACGCGCGTGTGTGCGCTCGTGACCTGCCCTCTCCCTTCGCGTGGTCTGTGTTCTGAGCGCGTTGAACACTTTTGCCATCTCTTCTACGCGCGCGTGAAATACTTTTGTCGCTTGGGGGCGGGGCCAGTGAAAGGTAAACAGCACACTGGGTTTCTGGGCAACGTCACAGGCAAGTTGTATGTGCATAGCCGAGTGGCTAAAGAAGGAAGCACACTGGAGCAGACTTTGTGTTTGTGTCCTACATTATCTAATAATCAAAAAGTCCAATCCATAAGTAATCACTAGGTTACATGATGTCGCTAGATGTAGTTATCATGATCAGTCAAGCTAAAGCAAGCTCAAACAACTAAAATGCTAACCGGCAGTTAGCATTTTAGCTGTTTTGCTAAGTTAGCTAAGGAGGCTCCTTCGTTTTAGTCTGAGGAGAAAGAGCTGTTCATGATTTACATGGAGACAATGTGGCAGTAAAACGGTATAGTTGGATGTCGGTTGCTACCAACCGTTCATACGAAGACTGTGTTCCAGGGGGGTGAAAACGTAAGTGTTCAGATCCAGCCTGCAGAGTGGGACAACTCAGATACGCTGCACAGCGGGGCTCTCTTTCACACCCGCGAGAGGGGAAAAGGTGTGAAATCCCCCTCTGCTCTGACCCCCGCCTCCGCGCTGCTCCCCGCACGTAAATTTGGACATGCGCAGTAGCGGAGAACAAACATCAACAACAATGGCGCCGCGCACACAAACTAGCTTTGTGGGCTTCCAGCGCGGCACAGAGGATAATTCTGCTCCTTTGTTCAATAGAAGATGACGGAGAAAGCGTTGGGAAAGAGTAGGATTGCCGAGATTAACCGGTTTTACAATAATGCGGTAGATTGAATGGAAAGATTTTAGATGACACTGTTTACCGCTGGTACGTAAAGCTTTACCGCAAGGTGCAGTACTGGCCGCTGCACACGAAGCAGACTCACCATCAAATTGAAGATGGCACAAGCTTCCCTAGAGTTGTATCCACCGGAATAGACTTCATTCAGCAGTGTGGGATCACTTCGGGAATTCAAAAGATGAGCAAGGTGTTGTCACTGATTTCATTGTCAACAAAGTTGTCCAAATTTTCTGAAATAAGCGCCAAAACTGTCTAAGGGTGAACATTAATGAAAAGGATTCTGCATCTGCAACCTACTACTACTAGTATTACTACTACTGCACAATTTGGATATATAATTTCCTGCATCTCTAGTAATCACTAGGTTACATGATGTCGCTAGATGTAGTTATCATGATCAGTCAAGCTAAAGCAAGCTCATACAACTAAAATGCTAACCGGCAGTTAGCATTTTAGCTGTTTTGCTAAGTTAGCTAAGGAGGCTCCTTCGTTTTAGTCTGAGGAGAAAGAGCTGTTCATGATTTAGCCTGTGTAGCCTTCTAGTCACAACAAAAGCACATAAATACTTTAGTGCTAAAGTATTCAGCTCTAAAACCACGAATTGTGTGGTGTTTTTCCTTGATTACAACAACTGGAGAACAAAAGTGATCAACCTGTATACCACTAAAAAGGCAATAATAACTTGAGCTAATGTTGCTTTTTTCCTTTATCAGGAGAACCATAGTCTGTGCCTTGCATCTTTGGAGAGGACTGCTGAGCTGAATGCATGGAGAGACGTGATGTGGATTTATGTTTTCTTTTATTTTGTGCAGAGCTACTAGTAAAAGTCATCCAGTGATCCTCCTTGTGTCGTGGTCCTTCTTCAGACAGCGCAGAACATGGAACACACCGCAGATTACACTAATAAAGGGGTTAACGGGTGTGCACCAGGTCAAGACTGTAATTGAACAATAAAAACAAGTTATAACGGTGCCCACACCCATTACAAGTCCATATCCTGCCATACAAGAACAGTTCAGGGTAAGGATGTCCCCCAAGTCTTTGTGGCCATAGTTACTCCCAGGCATCATAAGGGCTTTGACTTAATGCCCACTCTCTGATTGGGGAGCACATCTGCCTCAAAACACGGAACTCAGTACCAGAGTCAACATATTTCACATTCTTTACATAACACATAATAGTCTGCATTGATAGATTTATATGATTTAGGTTCTCTTTTGTATAGACACTGGGGGCCTGAGTGAGGTAATTATAGATATTAGGCCAGGTAACTGATGGCCATTTTCTCCTATCTACAACCCACTGTTCTGTGAGAATAGTATTATTATTACATGTTTATTTGACAGGCACAGAACAAAAAGTATTGTTACAGGTAACCAATGCCATGTTCATAGGCCGTATAGCAAACAGTCGCTAAGGCATAAAAATATTAGAGATTTCAGTTCAGCAGGTAAAATGTTCCAGAGCTGTGGCTCTTCGACTGCAAACGAAGTCTGACCAAATGATGTTTTACATCTTGCCGGTCTGCAGTGTGTATGGATCAGGAACTGGTGCCCATCAGATCAGAACCATTCATGGGTTCTGTGTAGTGTGTAGAAATGATAGCCATCCTAAACTAGCAAACACAATACAGATACAGAAGCCAATTATGACAGGTTGAAACAGCTATGCCCCAATTTTAAGTTCATTTTAATAAAAATACATGAAATCAAATGAAGTTTACTACTATTTAGCAATGTTAACAATTCAGATAGCTCATTTGTTTCAAAACTTTGTATACACATTTTTGATATTTGGGTTTATGGACTGACAGATTTATTGTTAGTTAGCATAGACTCATTAGGTCAAACCGCTATAATTATGCAAATAAAAAGCAAACAAATAACTCAGACAGTTTTATTAGACTGAGTTTACATGGAGACAATGTGGCAGTAAAACGGTATAGTTGGATGTCGGTTGCTACCAACCGTTCATACGAAGACTGTGTTCCAGGGGGGTGAAAACGTAAGTGTTCAGATCCAGCCTGCAGAGTGGGACAACTCAGATACGCTGCACAGCGGGGCTCTCTTTCACACCCGCGAGAGGGGAAAAGGTGTGAAATCCCCCTCTGCTCTGACCCCCGCCTCCGCGCTGCTCCCCGCACGTAAATTTGGACATGCGCAGTAGCGGAGAACAAACATCAACAACAATGGCGCCGCGCACACAAACTAGCTTTGTGGGCTTCCAGCGCGGCACAGAGGATAATTCTGCTCCTTTGTTCGTCCAAACGAGACCACGCGAAGCTCTAGGTTCAGTTTCCATTTTCACAGCTGCTGTTAAAAAACAGAATGATGTTGGTGCATTCTGAGGGTCTGGCAGAGGAAGTGAGTACACTGCCGAGAGGGGGGCTGGGCACGGGGCTGGGGGTCGTGTGTCGTGTTGTAAAGTTTCTCTGCCCACTACTTGCCGGGCGCTAGAACTACATCGTTTTTCAACCTCATGTGAACGCTGAGAAATTTGCATTAGGAGCCAGGTCGTTTCTGTTAATAGCCTTGAAACGTCTGCGCAGCGTCTCAGTATAAACAGGGCCTTAAACTTTGATAACGGTCCTGACATGATTCTGACAAAGCATTCAGTGTAAACAACGTACAGCGATGACAAAGGTCCTGGGATGTACCTGGCTAGCCTTGCGGCAACATAGGCTAATGACGTTATTAGGAGAGAATATTAAACATTTACGAAATAAACACGTCCTGGTGTAAGCCTATAGGGTGTCCACAACAGTGTACATACCACGTTAAAGACTACAATAGCCAGCCCAGTTAGGGTTAGAAAAAAGATATACAGTCTATGGATTAATCATATGCTTTCCATGCATAAGCATTCCATCTCCAAGCTGCAGTGGGCTGTTTACCTTTCACTGGCCCCGCCCCCAAACGACAAAAGTATTCACGCGCGCGTAGAAGAGATGGCAAAAGTGTTCAACACGCGCAGAACACAGACCACGAGAAGGGAGAGGGCAGGTCACGAGCGCACACACGCGCGTATTGTGGCTTGTAGTACTGAGTCTGCGCGCGTGTGGTGTGAAATATGCTCGTGGAGAGTAGTTTACGCGCGTGTGAATTTCATAAAGCTGCGCGTGTATGTTTTAATTGCGCGTGTGGACTTTTGGCATAAATCTGGCGCCATACCAGCCTCTCTCCGACTGAACAGGTGACCATTTTA